TCAGCATACATTTATTGCATCCATCAGCATTTCTTCTTTGGAGTTTTAATTAAAAGTGTTATCAGTGAATTTGAAAGTTTTGTAGGATTTACAGGTTAAACTTTCCAAAATAAAGTTATGAATTTCTCACCCTAAGTCACAGATCAAATTTACAAACTTTTAGTTACACTTCAGTTATACTTAAATAAACTTTATTGTATATATTTTGACATTTTAAAATAGATTCCAAAAAAAATTCAGCAATGAAAATATTTTCTCCACAGATTCTGGCAACCTTAAGTTCGCCAAAACAGAGCTTTATGGAGTTTTCCTTTTCCTATGCACACAAACAAAATCTGTGTCTGAACCTAGCATATGAGAAATATTCATAACTATTCTACAGTAGCCACTGCTATAACACTTACTAAGGAGATTTATTTTCATGTATATGAAACTAGAATCACTTAGCACTTTCAAAGTCTGCACTTGGATACTATACAGATTATGATTCTTTTTAAAGGCTCTAATTTTTTTTGTTGCACCAAAATGATACTTCAAAATATTGCATCTAGTCATGTGTATAACATAAGAATAGAACCTGTCTCCTGGGACATCTGGTCCAGTTCCTTGTAATTGCAGGCAGTCATTAACTGAAGAGATTCCTTAAATCACCATTTCACACCCTCCATCATGGTGAACTACAAGGCACAATGCCCAAGACTGCTCTGTAACATGCCAAGGTATACTCTTGATAGTCAGAGAGAGACAGGCCAGAAGCAGCCTCAGGAAGTCATCTACTCTGACTTCTCCCTGCTCAACAGAAGATATTTCTGTCTAAAATATCTCAGACAAACCTATCTCTAACCTGAACTTAGAAACCTCAACTGCTGAAGATTCCACAACCTTTTTAGGTACCTTATAGTATCTGACCTTCTACAAATATATATATATTTTATTATGGACAATAATAAGGTATTACGTTGAAAATAACATTAAGTGATGGATATTTTTATTATCAGTCTTATCCTGACAGCTTGTTTCTTAGAAAGCCAGAATGTGCTGGTGCGAGCTCAGGAGACTCTAGTGATTTGCCCTCATCCTCAGTTAAATTACAAATTCAGGCAATCATACCTCCTCTCACCAGTCACCATCTCCAAATGGTCTTTAAACACTTGGTTAGCTAAATGATATTAACAAAATTATTTTAAAGATTGCATAAGATACTTTGAAGCCTAAAAGGAGAGCAGAAGTTTATGGGAAGAAGGAGAGAATGGGTAACTGGCAATGATTAAAGAGGGAATACCTAAAGCACTGGATTTCTGGTACAAAAAGGATGAAGGAAATGAACACATGAACAGATAGTATGCGTAAAGGAATCACTATGCAGTCTTTTGCCACAGGCTTTTCATAGTTTCATAGATGTTAGGGTCAGAAGGGACCTCAGTAGGTCATCACGTCTGACTCCCTGCCTTGGGAAAGAGCGCTGGGGCCAGATGACCCCAGCTAGGTGCTTGTCCAGTCTCCTCTTGAAGACCCCCAGGGTAGGGGAGAGCACCACTGCCTTTGGAAGCCCATTCCAGATTCTGGCAACCCTAACTGTGAAGGAGTTCTTTCTAATAACCAACTTAAGTCTGCTCTCTGTCAATATGTGGAGACTGTTCTTAGTTACTCCAGGGTTGCCCTAGTAAATAGAGCGTCTCCTATTACCTGCTGCCCTCCCCTGATGAATTTATAGGTAGCCACAAGATCACCTCTCCACCTTCTCTTGCAAAGGCTGAAAAGATTTAGGTCCCTCCATCTCTCCTTGTAGGGCCTTGCCTGCAGGCCTCTGACTATATGAATGGCCTCCTCTGAACTCTCTCAAGATTCTCTGTATCCCTCTTGAACTACAGCGCCCAAAACTGGACGCAATACTCCAACTGTGGCCTGACCAGTGCTGCATAGAGGGGAAACATCACCTCCCTGGACCTGTTCATCATGCATCTGCTAATGCATGATAAAGTGTGGTTAGCCTTGTTGATCACTTCATCACACTGACGACTAATGTTCATCTTGGAATCAGCTATGACTCCAAGATCCCTTTGTGCTGCTGAGAAGGTCATCCCCTAGCCTGTAAGTGTGTTGGAGGGTTCCGTTTCCTCTGGCTGTACACTGTAAAGCCCAAGGCTTTGAGGGCTGCCTCCAGGACTCCATGTGTAGTGTTTGAGAGAGACATATTAAAGGACTATCCAGCCAGGGGAAGGTGGATTTGCTAAAATCCTGTTCTACTGTCACAATGTCTTCTTTAAGCAAAACAAGGAGATGGCATGATCTGTCTCAGTTGGAAGATCCCTTTCCTTCCCAGTCTCATTTAAACTCCCTGTGTCAAACTCAGACATAAGCTCATTCAGGGTGGAAAAAGAAAGTTAGACCATAGTCAGGTGAGAAAAGGAGAGGAGGGAACGAAAAGATCACACATAGCAAGAGCAGTAACTTGCTGTACCAGACTATATATTACATTATATTGTCTTACCTGATAGCTTGGTAGGAGCTGTGAAAGCACTAAATTCTGAAGGAAATGCTGTAAGATTTCATTTTAATCCATTGATATCAGTGGATATCAAAGTACTCAGTAATTCATATTTAGAAATATCCAGTGGGTACCCAATAAAATGGAAAACAGAGGGATAACTAGCTGGGTTTTTGCCTTGGGCCAACCCTGCTGGAGATCAGGGCTGGTGGGAAAGGGGAGGTGCCACTTATTTCCAAAGAGGTAGGGGGAGTCTTACCTGCTGCAGATACTAAACAAGTCCCTGGCTGCTTCTACCTCAGCATGGTCTGCCTGACCTGCTTGTTGATGGTGTCTGGGGGCTTGGGGGAACCTGCAAACTTGGCAAAAGTGGGATATGTGATGGCTTCTTTGATTTCCCAGGTTCCCCCATGCACCACCACAGACACCGGGGGTGGGGTGAGCAGAACACAGGCAGCATCCCTGCATCCCTGCCTGTGTTCATCCGGCTCTGGCCCCAGTGTCTTTCATGGCATTGGGACGTGTCTGCTCTGGAAAGCACGGAGCAGCAACTTTAAAACATTTACAAAAAACCAAACATTTGCCTCTGCACACCTCCTGTAGTACCGTGGAAAATATATCCATTGGCATGTGTGCCAGGTTTTGCATATCCCTGAGCTAGAGCTATGAGTTCAGTTTCAGGACAAAATCAGCTATCATGATGCCAAATGTCTAACATGACATGGCATGACACTGTCAGACCATAGTGAACCTGGTATTAACAGTGGAGCAATATATTGAAGTTCTGAAACTGACCCATAAATAATATTAAAAACATTCTCTTAGTGCGTATAGAAAATCCTGCTGCTATTTTACTAACCCAGTCTTCTTTCCTTTCTCCTGACTAGTTACTCTAGGTTTGGGTTGTGAGAAGTGGTGTCCTGACATTTGTAATAAATAATGCCTATGATTTAGAATGGGGAGATGAAAGGGTACTTGGTCATATTACTGACCAGTATTTTATCCCCCAATTTAACTTATTCATGGCTTTTGAAACATTTATCAAGAAAAAAAATGCCTATAATTAAAGATTTGCTTTGTAGTAAATGTCATAGTTAAATGTTTTGGTTGGGCTTTTTTGAGGAGTGAATCACTAAAACAAGAGACTTGAGGAGAGACTTGACATGTCTACTGGCAGGCTTCCATAGGTTTCCAGGCTCTGAAAGAGCACATACAGTGGGTGCACTAAGTTTCATGGCACCTTTCCCAACTTGTAGGGTCCCTAGCATTTTGGGTAGCCAGTTTTTGTTTGCCATCTGTTGGGGTACTAAATACCAACGGGTTTCCCAGGACTACCCAGGCAACCAGCTGAGATACCAGTAACACTGCATTATGTTTCCCTCCTCTGAAATGTAACAAATATCTGGAGTGGATTCAACTGTATGTAACAGTATTTCAGTGATTCCCTGTGTAAACATACTTTAAGCCAGACCTGAATATCCATAAAAATTTTCATCATAAATCATTGTCTCTTGGAAGTACATTGGTTTGAATTTTTAGAACAGTAATACAAGGTATCGTCATCTCTATTACTCTCTTTAGCAGTCACAATAAAAATAAGTAGGAATTTGCATCATACACCACATTCTAGTTATGGTGGTATTCAATATGTGTGATAGTCCTTTTTCACTATTATAAATGTTATGTGTAACTGATAATATGCTCCCCCTTTCACCTTGATGAAACTGTATAGAGTATACTGCAGAAAAAGAAATGAAATAATGTGATACTGTGTACACATTTAGCTGATATATATATCATTTACATTAATAACCCTTGAGATGCATCTGTACTCATTTTTAATACATAATTTACATGATTGAGATATAGTTAAAATATAATATATATATTATATATGTGTGTGTGTATGTAATATTTCTTATATATTCGGAAGGCATGATAATGTAAAAGCCAAATATATGCATGTATATATGTAACTATTAATATATATATGTGTGTATGTTATCAAATTATGTTATATATGTATGTATATAGCATAATTTGATAACATAATCTTCAGCTTGTTATAGATAAAGCCCTTCAGCCTAGGCCTACATATATCATGATCACCATTCGGACCTTTAAAAATACTGCTGTAATTGGAAACTGTTACCATGGTATTTAACTGTCTACTACATATCCAAGTACATCTTAAATGCAGGAAATCTGCAAATGCCAAGGTAAAGTTAATTTTACCTGTAAATGGCAATTGTCAAATTTTAATGGCAGACACTGTATAATGTTTCTAAATTGAATGAGGATTATTGGAGGTAATACACATGCCAAAAAACTCAGCATCACGTTTAGATCCCAGGGTGATTTTGCAGGTCTAGGAATTGGAAAATACTGTTTTACTTGAAAAGCTGAGCAGATTTGAAATTGTTGAAAGCCAATAACCTTGGAACATGTTTGGGTACCGTTGTCCAAGTTCAGTATTCTGATTGAAACTGTTTTGTTTATTCTTCTATTCCAGGATTGTGGTCATTCTGGTCCATCTGTGACACCCCACTCTGCTGGTGATGTCACATGCTGCTCTGACTAGCATTACAGAATGGAACCAGTCTTTGGAGGTAAGATCTGATCTATTTTTTCCTAATCCATTTTCCATTTCCATGGATTGATAATGTTCTTTACACTCTGTTTTGTACAAATTAAGATATGAATGTTATAGCAATAGACAAACTCTAGTACTCTTGAGATTACATGGACACACTTTCACATCAGTTTTACACTGCTGCTGTTTCACAAAATAATAGGGTGGAGTCTTGGGATCAAAGAAACAGTTACTTTGGAGAGGAAAAAAAGGGGCTTTCAACCATGATTTATATAACTTAAAGACATGCTTTCGGTTTGTGAATTTAAAGATTGCTCAAGGAAGAGTTACTTCCATAAAGCACCCATCAGCGTTCCCAGTGTAAATATCATTCTCTAATTTTAATGACTTGGAACCACTGAGGGTTAATGTACTCCTGTTATCCTCATTTCTCTTCTCCACTTTCATTCTATTGTTGCTCACGTGTCATGCCTTACTCTTAGTGAATTTGCAAGCCTTCTGGACAAGAACTATGTCTTCTTTATATTTGGATTACACCTAGTTTAAGCTGGAGCTACTAAAATTAAGGAGCTCTAGGAAGCTGAAGAAAAGAAGGAGAGAAAGATAAAGATGAAAAATGAGAGTTGGGGAAACCATGTAGGAGATCTGGGATGAGGGATGATCCTATGGTGAGAAAACGTCTGGTAGGAAAAGAACTATATGCTTACTTATGTGGCAATGGCAGGAGTGTATGGCAGTGCAAGAGCCCACTGTTGGGTGAATATGTGAGGTTTCTTTTTTTTTAATAGAATCTCCACATTTCAGTAGATTTAATCTTGGTTTCATCCTGATCCTTCACTGATTAAAATTGTTTCCTATGGTGAATCGTAGAAGCTTTCGATTTTATACTGTGCTTGAGTCTTTGGTATGTTTTAATTAAACATCCAGTCACAGCTATCCTAACGTATAACTGGGCTCCTGTGAACGTTATTGCTTTTTAAATCCATTTGTGCATGTATTTAGAAGTGGTATAAATCTTTATTCATCTGTAAATTTCACAGCTAGTGTCATTTCTTCATAGAATAGGTTTAATGGATCTGGTTTTAGGCACCAATTACACTGCATTTTTTTTATTTGGTGCCATGGTAATAACATTGAGGCAGAGTACTGAATAGAGATGCTGCATAAAGATAATACTCATGGTTTTTCATTTCTGGTTGAATTACAAGGACTTGTGTGTGGACCTGAATCTGGAATTCTGGAAAAATGTAAACTTCAGAAGCTAGGGTCAAGTTCAGAGGTGACTGTTGAATATTGGTCAAATTTACATATCTTGATAAGTGGGTGCAACTGAAAAAATGGAGAGGACAGAAAAGTTCAATTAAGACAAAATAAGCAACAACCTGAAGGATATAAGACCCAAGTTATATTAGACTAAGTTTTTTTGCTGTTGATTACTTTTTCTCATTCTATTGTCCTTTTATATTACTGTATTTGCTCAAATATATGATGAACTCCCCAATAATTAGATTCTATGTATGGAATTAAAAAAAAAATTATTATAATTGTCCAGGCATACAATCTAATTATTGGAGGTCTGCCTTGAATTTTCCTCCGTCTCAGAACTACAGCAGGGAAAATAAATCTGGGGCGGTCAAGTAGCCCTCTTGCCCTCTGCCCCTCCCAACTTCTTCCCCCACCCTAACGGCCAGATTCTGCTCTCCCTGAGCATGTGAAAGTGATGGGCAAATTTGAAACCACTAATTTTAAAATAAACATACTTGTTATAAATGGAACATAAATAAATTAGTATAGGTACCCATAGAATAGATGCTGTTCACTTTTTTTGAAACTGCTGCAAATTTTAGTATGGGTACTCCATAAACACACTTTTAAGCCATACTTCTATATATACTAGGCATGTCTACTTCAGATGTTTACTGTGCAGTTGACTAATTAGCTGCACAGTAAATGTCTC